CCCATTTCTAGGTACATACTTATTTCATCCCTACCACGGACAAATGTCACGACAAAACTCGCTATTGTTTACAACAGAAGCTCATCACATTGTCAAAGTGATATGCCTTTGTTTACTGTGTACATATTAAACACAACTTCCCCTGGACAAACAAAACTCCGCTTTCAAATCTTTTGTTCATCAAAACACTGAATATTAGTGAATCTACATGCAAGAGGAATACGAGATATCTTGTGACCCAAAGGTGCACAGGAGACTAGATCAGGCCAAGCTCTCTCTGATCATCAGTCAGATCAGTCACACAACTTTTTGGAATTTTTCGTTGTAGTGCTTCTGGCTACCTATCTCTGTTGTGTAAATATCGATAATTGTTTATTAGTTTTTTTAGCAAAATCAAATTGTGCAGCAATCAAAGGTATCTACCAGATTTTTGCACTCGATCTGTCGCATGACACATATCGACACATATGAAAGATGAAAGCCTCAACATTCTTTTGTCTCTTTAATAATGTCTAGGTTTGACCCCTGATGAGCTTTCTCATCTTGCTGCATCAGGTGATCGAGACTGGCTGTCAACTGACCATGTAACATGGGTATCGAGTCAATTAAATACCATGCAACAGGATACGATGGTTTTGTGCCCTAACACCGTAGTCAACTTTGCTAATGAAATGAGCAGGAAAAGTAAACTGTTTAACTTTGGAACTCTTAAGCGGCTCGCATTACTTGTAAAGTCGGGAAAAGAAATGGCAAGACCTTCATCGGTGGCATGAGAAATTCAGGGAATCACTGGGTCATGGAAGTTGTTGAGTTGCGGCCCTTCAAGCGTATCATATACTGTGACACGCTGGCTTGGGATCCCCCGTCAAATATTTTAGAAGTGGTAAACAGCTTTACAAACCACAGACCCCCTGTTGGAAGTTACGATAGTTCTAGCATTTGCACTGTTCACTCCCCTTTGGCTACGTCTTCTCAATTGGTCCAGGTCCTGGAGATGTCGTAACTACCCATTTCAGACTTGGTGTGGCATATGTGGAGTCATTGCTGTCATCAGTGCAGTGCTTGCGACATTAGACAGAACACTTTTTCAGTTCTTCATTGGCCCCTATGTTAAAGAGGCAATCTATCTACAATGCCTGAGCCAACATTTCTACTGTTTGAGAAGAGTCTTGATGTCCTGGTTTGCTGAAGGCCGCATCGACATTGATTATGTTTTGCTGCAGCCTGGCTGGCGCGATAATGTTGCAACTAAGTCTAACCACTCCTTTAGCCTACGCCGAGACACGGCTGGCAATTCCAAGAAAAACTTCAAGTTATCACTTGACCGTAAAGCGCTGTCATCGTGTGGGTCGACTCCAGGAACAGCACAGGGTCATTCACCCTCTTAAGAACATTCAGTTCCAGCAGCTTCTTCAGCCCGCTCTGCTACTAGGACCCACACCTATGTGTCTGAAGCAAGTAATTCCTTGAATAGTTCAGCATGGATGCTCGGCCATTCAGCGTCTCCAAATGTAAATTCATCGCCTTCTTCAAAGAACTCCCCTTCAGCCATGAAACGGAATTTGCCATCGAATAAAAATTCCTCCTTAAATCTGAAAAGGCCCTTGTCCAAAATGTCGTCTTTGTCCGAGAAATCCAAAATGTTTAAACACTCCTCAAGTGAGCAACCACTTACTGCTAAAGAAGCAAGACCCTCTACCCATAGAGATCCATCCTCATCACTCAATGACACGTGCAACAGTACTTCAGCAGCTAGACCACAATCAAAGACAGCCATGTCCTGTGCACTAGGTAGTTCAGGGGCAGCGTCAATGTCTAGCAGAAGTAGCAACAATCCTCGCAATCATCCATCTCGCACTGCAGAACCTCCAAAGTCTTCTGCTATGACAACCACTTCTCCACAGACTGAAAGTGGAAACGAGTCGTCTCATCCGGAACCGCTTCCAAAGGTTGCAAGTCAGTTTCAGTGTCAAGATTGTGGCTTGCAGTTAAGCAGCAGAAACTGCTTATACAAACATAAAATGAGAAAGCACAAGACCACTAATGAGGGTCCTAAAGCTAAGGAAAGCAAACATGTTTGGCTGGAGTGTACAGGAAAACAGTCAAGGTGAGATAGAATAGTTCAACATAGTGTTTTGTGTAGCAACTGGAATGACTACTTATAGTAATACACAAATGGCAATAATAAGACTTAAGCACATTGATAGGAGCTGGAGACACAAGATCGGCGAGCATATCAAGGACAAGGAGCAACAAGCAGAATTCTATGCCACCCTCAAAGGACTCCAAAATGAGACCAGCGAGGCGGGATTTAGGCACTCTTTGCAGCACGTGCTTGCATGGCTTAGGGAGAGATCTCCAGCTATGGCTAGCTACTTCGAGAAATTTTATGAGAGGAGACCTCGAGAATTGGCAAGTTGCTTCTGAGTCGGAACACAGATAAATACCAACATGTTCATAGAGAGCTTCCATCGTACTCTCAAAGAAGTGTACTTCGAAAGGAAGCAAAATCGACACGTTGACCATCTCCTCTTCCAGCTTCGAAAGATTTCCAGAGACAAGGCCTATGAGCAAGTGATTAAACCAGAAAAAGGAAAGTCAAGGGTGAGACAAAGAGAGAACATGAAAAGGCACAAACGAGCAGAGTCGGTTTCAGCTAACCCGTTACTCAGAAAGGAGAATGACTGCTAGGAGGTAAAGTCTTTGAAAGAGGAGACCAAGACTTATTTGGTGCGTCGAATTTCGTCATCACCTTGTGCCTGCCTCTTACAGTGCTCTTCCTGCATGGTTTGTGTGCACTTGTTCGATTGCACATGCCTAGACGATGTTATCAGGGGTGTGGTCTGCCACCACGTCCACGCTGTCAGCATGGCCAACCCAACACATGAGTCAAGGGAGGGGGAGATTGAAACCAATGTCGAGGAGACGCGTGAAGATTTGGCCAATTTGATTCCACCAGCAAGGAATACAAAAATTGCACCAAATTAGAAGACCTAAGAAGAAATGCCTTAAGTGTCATCGCAGAACTTACAGATGTCATTCAAATTGCTCCAAACAGCGATACCGTTCATGCTGCCCTCCGACACGTTTGCTTGGCAATATCAATGGCAAGGGGACTCGCTGTTATTGGTACTGGTCACCAGTACTTGAAAACAAAATCTTACCCAGCAAATAAGCTCGTGGAGAAACAAAAGCAATTCTTTTCTACCAAAACAAAAAGGAACATTAAAGGAAAGAGCTCTGTCCTTTCAGAATCCCCAGTACAAGAACTAAATAACATTGATCCCTATGTTTGTACTTTCTGTTTTAAGGAGGACCCCCCTTCAGTGATGGACTGAGTACTGTTGACTGGATAGAGTGTGGCAACTGCAAAGTCTGGGTTCACATATTATGTGACTATGTATGTATATGTGACTTTGTATACTAACTATGTATGCTGCATGTGTCATACTCCATAATTGAGGGACAGCATCGTCTTGAGCATTAAGGGGAAAGGGTGTCAGAGAATGTTCATGGTCTATGGCAGAAAGTTCCAAATTTTCCTGACAATTTTTGAATTTGTCTGACATCATTTTGATAAGGTAAGCTCTGCCCACAGGGCATTAGGTGTGAAATCACTTTCATAGCAACCTTGTTTCGATTTCTCAACAGAGATGACCATTTTTTTGCAATTTTTCTTTCATTAACTTTTTTCCCAAATTATGATTAGTGAGTCTGAACTATATTTGTGCTTTGTTAGATCACAAAGAGATTTTTAGTTTTTAGGGTTTGTCTGAGGTTTTTAGGAAATCCCAAAATGCAAGATGGCAGATCCAAGGCGACAGAATCTGAACAGCTTTCACATTACAGATAACAATTATCTGTTAAAATCGTACATTTTTGAGAGGACTATGATCTGTCTGATTTTCATCCTTGTACTTGTATACCTTTTGAATTAGCATGTATGCATTTTCTGTCCTCCCACTCCAAGAATATCTTTCTATCTGCCTGTCTGTATGTATGGAAATGGAGGTAAGCAATAGTAAGAAAAACTGTCTTTGGTGTGTGGGCACACTAAGGTAAATCACAGTGTAGTGGTAGTTGTAAAACACCTATCCCAGTTTAGTGGATTACATAATTAGTAAACATTCATATATAGGCTTAGATACATGAGGCCCTATTAGGGGTTTTCAGGAAACGGGATATTTAGGTAAAATAAAAATAGCATACGTATTATATATTTAACAATTATTCTACGAACGTGCATGCGTTGGATAGGACAGTTGGCTATGATCATCTCATATCCAATAAGCGCGAGTGGAATAATTGTTTTTTTAAAGTGCCACTTCGATGAAATTTTCGATATCCATTTTTTTACATTTTCGTACACAATAGGTCTTTCCTAGATCTCTTGCCAATTTTCAATCTGTTACAAACATTAGAATTCGCGGTTTTTGGACCTTTATTTCTGAAAATTTATGGCCGCCATTAATTTTCCTTGTTCCAAGTCTTGGTTGAGAATTTGAGAAAATGATGTCATTTTCTCAAAAATACCGCAGGCGAGTGTTTTCTACATTTCTCGGGTGTTCTCAAATGTCTGGAGTGTTTTATCACAGTGTAATACACGGCTTAGGCTTCTTCATTTGCTTTATGATATAGAGGTAACATGATGAAAAACAATAAAGCACGCTTTTTCTATGTTTTATACTCTGATAAAACATGGGTTTTTGACCAATCTGAGCGCACGCTGGGTCCTATCTATATTATAAGCAACACTAAACTAATATAAAAACGTCCCCAAAAATCACATGTTTGCTTACCATATCGTAGAGCATGGTGTAATAGCTCATAACGCATGATGGCTAAGCTAAGCCAATAAAAACTCTCAAACTACATTATCCAATGATCCAGTTTTTAATGAAGGCTTATATACCAGTACTATGTTTGTACTTTGAATCTAAATAAGCCACAGTAAATATCAACGTTTAATTGCAGGAAAGGCATTTTACTGTAGTAACATGGTACAATTTTGGGGGAGAACTTACTCTGAAGAGCGCGGGTTCAAAGTGATAGCTTTAGTTTTAGTCTTAAGATGAGTGCATATCCTTTTCACACACAAACAAGAGCATATTTAAAACATGCTAGTATTAGCCACACATGTTCATGTAGCTGGACAAATCGATGACAAGCAGCCTGCATGTATTCGCTTTGTTTCACTAACCCTATTTGTAGTGACATCAGTCTGCACAAAACTTATGTTTCAAGGATGAAGAACGATACGGTAGTCTTGGTAGCTTAGACTGAAACTCGATAAAACTCAGCTGTTCCGAAAACACGGAGTGCGGAGTCTAAAGAAAAAATAAAAAAAAAATGAAAAACGAAATGAAAAAAAATAGAAAATAAAAGAATTTAAAAGTGAATTAAAGGAGTAATTAAATACAAAAATAAATAAAAATAATAATTATTAAAAAATTCACACCGCCTGAGGTGGACTTTTCATGTCACGTATATTTCATTCAGTTCAAATGGTATATTCAACTTGCGATTTTCGTAGTTACCAGTTCACTTTTAGGGAAAAAAAAAGTAAAGAACAGTCCAGTTTGACCATGTCTTAAAAAATGTGAGAAATTACACCTTCGGTTTCCTTGGAAAGCCGTGTACCTCGAAACAAACTCAAGCTTTGCTTTCCAAAAATAAACAGTTGTTTATAAGCGTTTACATGAAATCAGTAGTTAGAGGGAATCTCTAAAAGGGGGAATCTCTAAAAGAGGGAATCTCTAAAAGGGGGAATCTCTAAAAGAGGGGATCTCTAAAAGGGGGAATCTCTAAAAGAGGGGATCTCTAAGAGGGGGGAATCTCTAAAAGAGGGAATCTCTAAAAGGAGGAATCTCTAAAAGGGGGAATCTCTAAAAGGGGGAATCTCTTAAAGAGGGAATCTCTAAAAGGGGGAATCTCTAAAAGAGGGAATCTCTAAAAGGGGGAATCTCTAAAAGGGCACAGGGAGCTCTCACATCCGTTTAGAATACGAATAAAAGATTAACCTACCTTTATTGCACATGTTTTGTGTTTTATGGTGGCCATTTTGAATTTTTAATACACGCACGGTCTGCTAGTGCGAGGCAGGGGAGTGCGAGGTCTGGAACTGAAATTACAGAAATCGCTCGGAGCCGGCTCGGAGTTCTAAGAAAATGACAAGGGATAAAACTGAAATGATAGCGTTCCGAATTTCGCATCAGCTCGGGGGGAAATTTACTTTGTAATTTGCCCAAAA